ATCCCTCTCCTGCCCCGGGACTCCCTCCTCTTCAGCTCCTCCTGGTGTTTGGTAGGTGTGGCCTCAGGACTCGAGAGACCACTCCAGCTCCCTGTCAGTGAATTCTCCCACTGAATCCTGTGATGTGTCCCCCAGGCCTCTTCAACTCACACTCCTCACTGCACAAATTCAAGGGGCTGCCTGGAAGAGGTGGCCACGAGGGGAGCCCGAAGTGTGGAGTCCTTCCCAGCGGAAACTCAAAAAGCCTTTTAATAAGGTCCGGGTGTGGGGAGCTTGCTCATTTATCAACAGTTCAATCACCCAAACCTGTGCGATGCCGCAGATGGTGTGCAGGTGTGCGGCCGGAGGGCCAGGCCTAGGCCTGGCACGCACTCGAGGTTGCCCACCCTCCTGCTCCAGGCACTTCATCTATCCCAGACTCTCTCCAGTGATGGGCAGGAAACAGCCTTCTGTGTTTGTGTCAATTGGGGCACAGCAGTTAAGCCAAGGGAAAGCTGACATTCCATGCGTCTGCCCAGCCAGGCATCTGGGTTGCTGGACATCACACTGTAGAAGCCCGGAGACAGGAACTTCTGGGGCGACCTGATTCAGGGAGTGAATTTGATTACTCTAAGTACCAAGTGTAACCACAGGATCACGGGAGAGTTTCTCAGGTGTTTGGCACACAGTTAAGTGCTCAATGAACCAGGGCAACTTTTCTCAAGGTGTGCTGATTACGAAAAGCCTTCGAGTAACAATAAACTTGGTGTTGCCACAGCCACCTTTCCCAGGGTTTTTCAGTTAAAAAAAAATATAATAAAATACACACAGACACACACACACACACACACACACACACACATATATATATATACACCCACCCACACACACATATTTGTTTAGATATGGACTCTCAGGCTGTTGCCCACGCTGGAGTGCAGTAGCACAATCCTAGCTCACTGCAGCCTCCAATTCCCAGGCTCAAGCAATCCTCCTGCCTCCACCTCCCCACTAGCTGTCAGGCATGTACCGCCAAACCCCACCCCAAGCCCATAGCTATTAAAAATTTTCTTTGCACCACATGCCATAGGTTTGAAAAGAAAAAAAAAATTTTTTTTTCATAGAGATGAGGTCTCACCATGTGGCCTGGTCTTGAACTTCTAGGCTCAAGGGATCCTCCCAGACTGGCCTCTGAAAGTGCTGGGATTGTAAGAACGAGTCACTGCCCTTGGCCTTCCCCATTTTCAAGCATGTGCTGCGTTGTGATGTGCCAGGTGCCTGCATTTTCCAAAGCAGCTCTGATGAAAACCAGCACTCCACGTTGCATCTCAGAGACCTGAACTTCTGAAACCTACTTTCAGAGAACAATGAGGTAGGTTTCTGAAGACAGCCTCCCAATTCCCAGGAAGGGATCCCATCATTCACTTATTAAAGCGTTTCAATTTTTCAGTCAATATTACACGTTTAACTGTAGTTGTAAATATAAGGCCTACTGCATTCTCATTTCCTACCCCAAAGAAAATGAATTTGAACTTTTTGCTTCTTCCTCTTTTACCTCCATATTTCTAAGTAACATACTGCTCTCTCGTTTTCAGCTTTGGACATCCTTTGTTGATTTCCTACTAAGAAAGAACAAGAACTTGGCTCTCTTACCCTCTACCAATACACAGGCACGTTCTTTCCCTCTTCCAGTCTCCTCCGTGAGATCCGGTACATTTCACCAGAGCAATATTCACTACTGTTTGTGTGTGTTTACATTTGTATATAAATAATATTATTCACAGCTGAGTGACAGGATTTGTGGCTCCTCTTCCTGGGTATTTCTGGTTGGGCACTAATATGTTACTATTTGCTTAATTGTCTGTATCTATCTATGATTCTCTGACTTTCTCCAAGCCCCCTGACAGACCCCAGTGGTGACAAGGCATGGGGCCACCTTGCAGGCCTGGTGCTGTGTGCTGAGTCTCCCCAGAGCGCGCCCCGGGTCCCAAGTCTCCCCTCACTCCTCCCTTGCTGGAGCCTCCCCACTCGTAGCTGAGAACAGCTGCACAGGAAGCCAGTTATTGAGACTCCTGCAGTCTTCTCCTGGTTATTTCTGTGACTGTTTGCCCATCTGGGGCCCTCTCTTGGTGACCCCCTTCTTGGGGCTAGAGGGGCTGCTCACAGTTCCTTGAATGTGCTGCCAATGGCTCCCTTGAAGACCACGGCCCACTCTTACCCCTGGTTTCCTGTTTCTCACACCACCCAGCAGGAAGGTTAGGTTACTCCTCCTCTTCCCACCATTTCCTCTTCTCGCCGTGGATTTTTTTTTTTTTTTTGGAAACAGAGTTTCGTTCGTTACCCAGGCTGGAGTGCAGTGGCATGACCTCTGCTCACTTGGGGTGTTTTTGTTGGCATAAAAGCCTTTCTGAAGCTGTCAGGAGGGAGTTGATGCAGACCCAGTTCCTGTGGGCCGTGGGGCAGAGCGCAGCTCACTGCTGCCCGCCCTGCACCCAGGTCACCCGGCTCTCTCTTGCCCTTTGCCCACGTGGTGCTTCACTGCCACTGGGGTCTTCTGATTTCCTCTGAGGATTTTTCATCATGCTCGTGACAACTATGTAGTTAGTATCTCTGTCCTAAAAGTACTGGGGGCAGGTGCTACTCCTGTGCCTTGCCCCTACCTCCCAAATGTTTTTAAGCGTTTACAGATGTATTAAGTTCATCCTACACACCACAGTGCCACAGCACGCACCTCTCTCCAAGCCAGCCTTCAGGGGCTTTCGTTATCACCCTGGAGGCCCATCCTAGGGTAAGGTTCAGGTCTGGGAGATGCTGCCTTCCCTCAGGACCCAGCACCCACCCCAGCCACACTGGGAGCCCTCAGGGTTGGGGCTCCCCTAGTGTGTAGCGTCCTTGGCATGGGCTTGGCCCACAGACCCACCTTTAGCCCAAGGCCAGTCCCACAGCTTCCCAGGCCAGAGACCCCCAACAGAAAGCAAGGAATTGGCTGCTTAGCCTGGACACTTACTGAACGAGTGCCCCCAAGTACTGCAGCGACTCTGCACCCAAGGCCCCCATCTCTTTCCAGCCCTGGCCAGGGAAATGGGTCAGTTTTCCAGCAACCCAGGGGGTACTTAGGAGAATGGGTGAAACAAAGAAAGCCAAACTTCCGTACGATTGGTTTAATTTTTTCAGCAGGAGAAAAAAGAATAAAGTTACAAGATTCTTTTAATATCTTCACAATGTTAAAACTAAAACTGAGCTCTAGGCTATGTGTGTAAGTAAATCTAGAACACAAAAGGGTTAAATAAGATTTTCTCTTTTAAAGATACAAGAATTTAAGCTTTCCTTACATTTAACAAACTTCACAGAGCAGATACTGCAGGGGAACAAGCCCTCCCCCCACCCCCCAGCTCTAAGTCAGGAAGCGAACATGGGCTTCGCCCCACCCCGCCTGGCTCCCCAGGGCTCCTTCCCACTGCGGCCTCCACACTGCAGGCAGTGGGTAGGGCCTGGGGAGGGACAGGAAGGGCACGCACAGCCTCTTCGGGACCAGAGCTTGGCGGAGGCCTAGGCAGGGCTGCCTCACTGAGGATGGCCCATACAGTGGCCAAGGGCTGTGGCTTGACAGCAGTGGTAAACGCTGGGCAGACCTGGCCCCTCTGCCCTGGGCTGCCCTAGAGCAAGACACTGGTCTGGGTCCTGAAGCAAGAATTAAGGCTGGGATTTTGCAGCGGATTCCACTCTGGTGGGGTGGAGGGTGGGAAGAGCATGATTTCCTAGTTCAGTACTTGGATCAAAAAACATTGTAGTTGCAGGTGTTCAGCTGTTAATTTGCAGACAGAGTTGAACCATTTGTTGTTTTATAAAAAGGAAAGTTGCTGGGTTAAACCATTCCAGTAGCCTCTGTGTGGGCAGATCCGCGCTGCCTCTGCAGGGGCCTCCTGCGCTCACCGACCTGGATCAGATGCAGCACTAGGACCACTGGGACCGCTCACCCTGCCTGGGCTTTCAAGGGAACCCTGATCTGTCCAACCAGCCGCAGCCCCACCTGACTAGTGGTGATTTCCTAACAGGGCAACCAGGCCCACCTCCACCCTTCCCCACTTGGCCTGAGCAGCTTCAGCTGCTCCACTCCTCCGTGAACATGAAGGGGCACAGGTGGAGAAATGTCCCCTCAAGCCCTCACCCACGAGAGCAAATACCACTCTTGGAGCTGGGCTACAGCCACAAACTGCTGTTCTAGACAGATCCAAACCCACTGTCCCTATGAAGTATGCTGCCTTCCCTTACTAAACTTGCTATGTGGTAGATGTGGACTGGGTGTCCTTGGACTATGGGGCTGCATAGAAAGGAGAATGGAGGCCGCGGCATCATCCTCTTGGCCCCTGGAGGCACGGGAGGCTCCAGCTGGAAGGGGCAGAGCCCATGGGTGGCAGCTTTCCCGGCTGCCCCCAGCACTTCTACTGATTCTTGTTGGCTATGAAATGTCTTTTTAAAAAACTTCCAATATAGAAATCTGGCTGCAGAAGCCAGTGTGCAGACCCGGCTACCGCGCTGTGCTGCCATTCGCCGCATCTGATCCCTGCCAGATCCCTGCACTGGCGAATGGCAGACCAGAGCTGGTGGGGGCAGGGCACTCTGGCCGCTTCTCGTGACCTTGGATCCCGTGTAGAAAAGGCGGGTCTTGTTCGTGGACTAGTCTTGAGTGGAGCTAATTTTCAAAGTGAGGTTACTGTTTCTCTTCTTGTGTGATGAGTTTTTTCATAGCAAGTCAGGTAAAAAAATTTCCGTTAAGACTCTGTCCCCCACCCCCCGTTTCCAGCTCTGTGGGAGAGTGAGGCCACCACCCAGCTCAGCCATGTGGCCAATCTCAGCAGCCTCCCGTGGCCAAGGCACACGTGGCCGTCAGGTATCCTGGCTACTGGGACTAAGGATAAGTGAAGAGGTGAAAGGCCGAACATTAAACAGAGTTTCTGGCAAAGCCATGTGCGTCGTGGGAACTTTAACACCAGCTTCTACTCCTCTATTAACTCAGAGTCTCCGTCTGGAACACTTTCCACTTAAGGCTTTTTATAAGTTTGACTCCAGCAGTGACAGGTATGTGTTGTTTTAAATCCACTAGCCATGCTCAAAAAAAAATATTCTTCATGTTTTAATTTTATACAATGGCTAGCAGGCACCTTAGTAACCAGCCAGAAATCAATTTCAACCACCATCAACCCCTAAACTACAGTACCAGGATGGCTGGCTAAAGAAAGGAAACGGACTGGCTGTAGTCTGACGCGTGCCCAGTACAAGGTGTCTGGCTGACTTTGTCCTAAATAAGGCTAACATTAGTGAACTAAGAACAGCGTCATGTGGTGGCCATGCCTGGCCTTCAGGAGCACCCCTCCCCGATGCGCTGGCAGGAGCGCCCCACTTTCCGGTCCAGCTTCACCATTTTCATGATGGCTTCCTCCCGGCCACGGCCCATGTGGTCGAATGTGCAGTCATGCTGCTCGGGGAGGCGATGTAACATACAGAACACGTAACCTGCAGTAGTGGGAGAAGCAGAGGAAAGAGACTGTTAGGGTGGCCTCCAAGTGCGCGGAGCCTCACTCTCGCCCTTGTCCAGAGGATGGAAGGGCCTCCCAGTGGGTAGACAATGGTCACTGCAGGGGCTCCTGCTGCAGCAGAGCGCTCACTACAACACCGCTCATAGCAAGAAGGTCAACACTTTACATTCCACAACTGCTCAAGCCCATCCGACACCCTCCCAACTCACCAGCTGTGGCTGCTCAGAGGCTACCCCTGCCTGGACCCTTGAAGGCTAGAACCCTAAGGTGATGGCTGTGGTGAGATACAGCCTGGCCTTGGAATCAGTGGCTTTGCGCCCCACTCCCGCACCATGGAAGCAGAAGAGCACAGGCTGTCAGCTCCGCATTTTGGTTGGCTCAGTCAAACTGTGATATCCACCACAGGATGCCCACAATTTCTAGGAGGCAGGAGAAATGATTACATCTTAAATGACATTCCACCTCCTGTATAGCCAAGGCTTGAGAGGATGGTGGGAGTGATCAAACCACAACCCACAAGTAAGTGGGGGCTCTAAAAGGAAAATGGATGATTTCTAGTGCTAGAAAAGACCTTAGAAACAGAGGAAAGGACAGCAATGTTGGGCTCTAATCACCATCTCCAAGGAACCTGATACTTCTAACTCCACCGGTAGGTGGGAGAGGTTGAGATTCCCACACTCAAGGCCTCCCAACTGTCCCTTCCTCCCAGAAGTGCAGGAGGCTGCAAGTCTCTTTTTGGAGCAGAGAGATCCAAGGGAGACACACTGGTCTGGCAAATAAGAGAAAAAGACCAGTGATGAAAGATCAAGAGGCCTACCGAGCAGGGAGCCAGTACAGGTGAAGTTGCTCTGGGTCGGGAACAATGACGGGACTGCTGCAGGGAGCTGGGAGCCAGGCTCAGGAACACAGGGGAGCACAGCTGCACCACCAGGGTGTCACCCATTCCCTCCCACTTCCCAGTCAATTTCTAGAGCAGTTGATACGCATGTGTAGCACAGATATCTGATGTCTCCAGGGTCTGCTGGCCCTCTCGGGAATGCTGGGGAGAACAAGATCAGGGCTAGAAAGACACCTGCCAGTGCTGGCTGGCTCCTCACCACCTTCTCATCCCATCAGCATCTCACCACACCTCCAGGCCCCATGCACTTGGATCAGGTCCACAGGAGCAAGCTTCCAGGTGAATCCGTTTCTAAACCTGCTCCCCTACTGTCTGGAGCAGGTATCCCACAGCAGCCTGACTAGGTACACACTCTCTTCACTTGTTCTCCAAGCTACCTTAAGCCCTCAACCAGGCCACAAAGAACAGGCAGCCACCCCTTGCAAACTGTGACTCATCCCTCCTCACATCCTCAGCTTCTTTTGGGAGATGTAGAGACTGCTTTTAGAAGAACGGCAAGAGCCCAAGCAAGGACGAAGTGGCCAGGATGAACAGTTTCAACACCCTTAAGATGAAGATTCCATAGCCTTAACTTTCAAGATTAACTTCACCTATATTCCTCAGCCTGAGAGAAGGAGAGTGTGTGGTGTCCTCAATAGCTGGGGGCCAACCAGTCTCAAGGATATGGCTTGAAGCTACACCCTACTAGGAAGTCTTGAGCCCAGGCTGTGTGCAAGGGCACATGTACACAGCCTGGGGGGCAGAGTGACCCAGCGGAGCTTGGGCCATCCACTGTGTGAGAAAACACATTATTAACTGCTTCCCAGGGAGAGCAGGGCAATATGTTTGACTCTAAATTGGGATTGGGTTTAAGGAAAATAACAAGAGTTGAAATTTTTGTCTCCCGAGAAGCCGAGCTCCCACTTGGTCCAAAAGCAAAGTTAAGATTAATGAGTTCATATGTTATATTTACTGATAAGTTCATTACTTGAAGATATTGGATACCAGTTGTCTTTCTCCTAAAGGACTTTGCAGCAGAGGCGTGGATGGCCTCAATATGCATCCTCCATCTAACAAGCAAAATCATCTTTTTGTAGGAAAGCCTACCCGGTGAGGGAGAACCTGATGCCAGTCAGGGCTTAGGGTAGGAGCACCAGCAGGATGGCAACAGGATGTGTCTGTAGACATTTCTGTCACCAAGTCCTGAAATATTTCTGTACTTTCGGCATCTATAATAAGGGGCGGGAGGACCCCTGCTGCCCCTTCCCTTCCCTTTCTTCAAGACATTGGGATGATTCAGAAGGTCCCAGGGGCTCTCCTCTCCTTCTGATGAATGGTGCTGGCTGAATAAAAGCAGCAGGAAATGGATTACCACTGGAATTAACTTGGCTCCTAGCTCAGCCTAACACCTCATTAGTCAAAGACAGACTGGGGTGGAAGGGAGGGGCTCTGTCTGGCCCCCCTCCATGTTTGCTTAGCTTGCATTCTGCCAGCTAGTAGGTGGCCAACTTGGTGGATGTGAGAGCCCCAGGACTCTGGAAGAGGAAATAGAGAGTGACACTCACAGTAGCTACCCTGATATTCCCTCTACCCTCTAGCACAATAGCCACCCTGATATGCCTTCTACCAGCCCAAAACACCTTATTTCTCTGCTCAAGTTCTGTGTACCTGTTAGACACTCCTTGCCACTTGGTTTTTTTTTTTTTTTTTTTTTTTTTGAGACAGGGTCTTGCTCTGTCACCAGGCTGGAGTGCTGTGGTATGATCCTAGCTAACTGCAGCCTCAACCTCCCAGGCTCAAGGGATCCTCCTGCCTCAGCCTCTCAGTAGCTGCAACTACAGGCATGCACCACCACACCTATGTTTTGTTTTTTATTTTTGTAGAGGAAAGGTCTCACCGTGTTTCCCAGGCTGGCCTCACACTCCTGGCTTCAAGCGTTCCACCCACCTCGACCTCTCAAAGTGCTGGGATTGCTGGCATTAGAAGGCACCCTCTAATCCCAGCACTTTGAGAGGCCCAGGCGGGAGGAATGCTTTCAAAAGTCCATGCCTGGCCAGCTTGCATTTTTGAAAGGTAAAAACTATTAAACAGCAGATAAATTTTGGGAGCAGTGCTGGTAGCAATGAGAATATATGGCACTGTAATTCACTGGAGAAAAGTCTGGGGGAAGCTCTAGAAGGCTAACTTCCCAAGTTGCTGCAGTGAGGTTATTAGATGGCATAAATTAAGCTCAATTCTTTCTCCTGTCAGGATCATTCACTAACAGGAAGTTATGTGCTGAAACTTGTCCCAATGCTGAGCAGATATTATCTGCTGACAGCAGCCAATGGTGAAATGCATTTTGGTGTCTGAGGGGGGTTGTCCTGGATACAGGAGATGGTGGGTAGGGGTGGAGGGGTGACTGATGGGTGGGATGAATCTTTATCCTCTCTTCTTGGTACTCACAGATCTGTTTCCAGAAACTACTACAAGTTTTATGAACTTTGGATTGCTCTCTGATTGAATTCTGGGATCCAAGCTGGGCATGAAGAGAGATTTTCAATGAAAATCTAAAAGCAGTTTCAATTTAAAAGCAGTTTTAAAGCACAGGGGATTTAGAGTCGTGTTAGCTAGGCCAGCCTTAACACTTCCTCTGCACCATTTGTTAGAAACCAGTAAGGGCCTTTCCAGAGAGGGCCAAGGACGGTGGCATCCAGAAGTGATAAAAACACTGATAACACAGAACTGACCTGCTGATCTATGACGGCAGCTCTAGTTTATTATCTAGGGTATCACGTAACTCTTTTTTCCCCAGATTTAAAAAAAGTTATATAGTATAATCAAAGTCAAATAAAGCCACATATTCACAGACACTGATCTTTGACAGCCAATGAGAACATACACCGGGGAGAGGAAATCCTTTTCAATAAATGGTGCTTGGAGAATTGGGCTGCCACGTGCAGAAGAGTAAAACTGCACCCCTATCCAGAGTATACCACACACAAATCAACTCAAAATGAACTAAGGACTTAAGACCCGAAACTATAAAAACACTAGAAGAAAACCTAGAGAGAACTCTTAGGGACACTGATCTAGGAAAAGAATTTATGACTAAGACCTCAGAAGCACAGGCAACAAAAACAAAAACAGACAAATAGGACTTAATTAAACTAAAAGCTTCTGCATAGCAAAAGAAAGAATCAACCAGGCAAAGGGAAAACCTGCCAAAGGGGAGAAAATATCTGCAAACTATTCATCTGGCACAGGACTAATATTGAGAGTACACAAGGTACTTAATGAGGGAAAAAAATCCTATCAAAAACTGGGCAAAGGACATGAATAGGCAATTCTCAAAAGAAATGTACAGTCAACAGGTATATGAAAAAAAATGCTCAGCATCACTAATCACCAGAGAAATACAAATCAAAACGACAATGAGATATCTTACCCCCATCAGTATGGCTATTGTTAAAAAGACAAAAAAAGTAGCAGATCCTGGTGAGGATGCAGAGAAAAGGGAACTCCCTCTGTTGGTGGGAATGTAAACTAGGAAAGCCACTATAGAAACCAATATGGAGATTTCTCAAAAAACTAAAAATAGAATTATCATTTCACCTAGCAATCACACCACAGGATATCTACCCAAAGGAAAAGAAATCAATATATCAAAGGTATACCTGCATTAACATGTTTATTGTGGCACTATTCACAAAAGCAAAGATATGAAATCAACCTCAGTGTCCATCAATGGATGAAAGAATAAAATGTAGTATATATACATAAAGGAATACTCTTCAGTCAAAAAGAATGAATTCATGTCGGTTACAGCAACATGGATGGAACTGGAGGTCATTATCTTAAGTGAAATATACCAGGCACACAAAGACAAATATCCCATGTTCTCACTTATATTCAGGAGCTAAAAAATTTAAACATATGGAGGTAGAAAGTGAAAAGAGACGAGACTGGGAGGGTGAGTGTGGGGAGGGAGGAGGATAAAGAGAAGTGGATTAAAGGGTATAAACATATAGTAAGATAGAAGGAATAAATTCAATGTTAGATAGTAGAGCAGGATGACTGTACCTAACAAAAATGTATAGTACTCCAGTGATAAAGATACC